GTTGGGCTCCCCTCCTTTTCCTCTTCAGTCAATTACCAAATGTTTATTTGGATTAGTAAAAGTATTTTAATAATCTACATGGACTGTTTTCCTAATGAATCATTGCCTTAAATAATTATGTGGTATAATCACAGTTACATGCACATCACGAAATGTGTCACATTAATATTAATCTAAATGTTATCCAATCACAACAAAAAGCTTATTTCTGTATGCATAATTGCTGTTCAGTTGACAATGCCCGTCTGACTAAGGTAAAAAATTACAACGATTCTCTCCCTTCTTTTTCAATTTTTTGGCAGAGTAGTAGGGTGGGATGGGGGTAAAAAGGGAAATGCAGTCTCTGTTGAGAATTCCCTTAGTTCACAAGGCAGCTTAATGCATGTGCTCCATATGCTGCCAGGGTGGGGGTGGGGGTGGGGGACCAGGCACACATCACATGCCTAAGAAGCACCAAGGACAGTGGTGAACATTCAGTGAAGAATAACCATGAAGTCTTTCCTTCTTGCTTCTGTTACAGGGAAGAAGGGTTTCCTGGAAAGAAATCAGAAGCAGCTCCAGAGAAACAGAAACTAGGGTACCCTCCCATTGTTCCATTTTACTGCATGAAAGAGGATGTCCTTGCTTACGTGTTTGATGACATGTGGAGCAAGGTCCTGAGCTGTATGGCACAATTGACACGTAGCCACTGGGAGGGATTTGCTTCTGGTAAGGATCTTCGTAAAAACAGGAATGTAAGAAAATAATTGTCTAGGATTTCCAAACCCTGACCAGTCTATTAGATTATATGCTTCATGAGTGCAAAAGATTCATATTTGTGTTTCCCACAGAAACAAAAATTTAGAAAAAATTTGAGAATGAGTGGATGAGTAACAAGGCCTAATCTATGATGACTAGACAGAGATTGTGCTTCCTCTTTGAATATAATTATTTGTGAGAAAAAAAACCTGTGCAACTGGCAAATACATTTTTAAACTGCTTTATGAAAAATAATTGATAAAATAAACTATATATTTAAGTATACAATTTGATAAGTTAACCTACGTATACACCTATAAAACCGTGAAACATTAATAGAGTGAACATATCCGTCACTCCCAAAAATGACTTTTGTAATCCCTTTCTCTTGCCCCTGCCTGACCCACCATCCCCAAGTGACAACTAATATTTCTCTCACTATCAGTTAGATTATATTTTGCAGAATTTCATATAAATAGAATCATGTGGTATTTATTCTTTTATCATCTTCTTTCACTCAGCATGACCATTTTGAGATTCATCCATGTCCTTGTGTGTGTCAATAATTTATTCCTTTTTATTGCTGAGTAGTATTCAAGTGTTCCATAATTTGTTTACCCATTTATCTGTTGATGGACATTTGGGTTGTTTTCAGTTTTGGACTATTACATGTAAAGATGTTATGAACAAGAAATTTTGGGACATACATTTCCTTTTTTCTTGGAGTGGAATGGCTGGACAACATGGTTAAATGTATATTTAACTATTTAAGAATTTTTTGTATTGGTTTTCTATGTTGCACAAAAAAATTATCACACTTAGCAGCTTCAAAAAACACACGTTTATTATCTCACAGATTTGTGGGTCAGAAGTCCAGGAATGGCTTAGCTAGTCCTCTACTTAGAATCT